GGGGGGGGGTTGATATGAAGAACGTGGAGGCGCCACGTTAGCTATGGCGGGCAGCAGAGTAGGGATGATGAAAGGGGAGGGCGGGGGGAGGCATTAGGATGGCAGGTTGGAGTGTGCCGCAATGCATCGAGAGTGGACTTCGCTTTGTTTTGTGCTTTCTCGTGTTCTCGGATCGCCAACGGTGTGCAGGTTATCATCCAACAATCCGTGATCGGCGATGACAAGTGCTTGGGTGTCATGTGTCGTCATTAGTTTTTTGAATTCACATTGGTTTGTATTGCACCTCCTGGAGGTGTGCGGTCTTTCACCGGCAATTGGGTGGCGTGTAGTTGTTGTTTAGAGTAGATGGTTGCGGACCTCGGACGACACAACCTTTGGTTTCTATAAGGTCAAACTCGATGATTAGCTTGAAGTGGTGGAATGGCTTGAAGTGGTGGAATGGCTTGCAGTGGTTCGTTGTCTCTCATCAGTCGTTTAGCCATCCATGGAGGCAGGCGATGTGGTTCTCTTTGAATGTATTTCAATGCAAAGGTTCATTTATTTGGCCGTTGCCCTTTGTCATGTTCAATTTAAAAATATTGGCATGCATTTTTCTGATATGACGTATCACAATTTCATGATGCTTGTTGTGTTGATTTCGTCGCACATTCCATTTCCACAAAACCATAAAAAAAAAAAAAAGCAATGCACTGCAATGTGGATCGATTGCAGACATGACAACATTCGCTTATTGTAGAGACGACAAGCCTTGTAAGGTCTTTCGAAAATAAGACACTAAAATGTCGTTGAACTGCGAAAATTAATGCCATTCACATGTAAAAGAAGTCCCGCGTTCGTCTGAACGCGAACTGCGAATGGGTGAGTGATGTCGAAAAAAAACTGCCATAACATCTAATACCAGTGCACATCAACAACGGCCGTCCCGGGAAGGCATAAACACGCGCCCGGCGTGAACGTTCCCTAAAAAAATTAAAAAACAAAATAAAAACAAATGCAATGGACCACCCTACCGACCACATTCAGAACCTCGACCTACCCTACAATGACCACTAATTTTTTTTTGCCACCACCGACGAATGAGGGGCGACAGTAGGGCCTTTGGCAACGTCTTCGTTGTCGCCACGTCGTCATCATCGTCATCATCGTCATCATCGTCATCATCGTCATCATCGTCATCATCGTCATCATCTTCAGCGGCATCATGGTGATTAGCATCATCGTCGTCATTACCATGATCATCATCATCATCATCATTATCATCATCATCATCATCATCATCATCATCATCATCATCATCTTCATCGTCACCATCATCATCATCATGGCCGCCATCATCGTCATCATCATCATCATCATCATCATCATCATCATCATCATCATCATCATCATGCCCATCATCATCATCATCGTCATCATCATCAACATCATCATCATCGTCGTTGTCGTCATCATCATCATCATCATCATCATCATCATCATCATCATCATCATCATCATCATCATCATCATCATCATCATCATCGATGTCATCATCATCATCATCGTCGCCACCACCATCATCGTCATCGTCGCGGCATCGTGGTGGCATCATCACTGCCGCCTTCATCCGGCCACCGCCGTCAGCCGCATGCGCCTAAGCATCAGTGCATCGACACAGTTGTCGCCGTTGAACCGACATTTCGTTAAAACTGACATTTTTTTCTAAATTCACGAAATTGAGCGTACCAAAAACAACAGTTTTTAGTGTTTTTTTGTCCCCATGACGTCGGATGATCAGATCATCGGGTGTCGTGGCGACTCCCGATGATCTGACCATCGGATGTATGTTAACGGTACTTTACGTTGAGGTACATCAGATGGACAAAGTGAGATAACCACTTTCTCAACTGATGAGCAATGAAATTTTTGACTAAATCCACTTTCGTGAATTTAGAAAAAAATATCAGTTTTAATGAAATGTCAGTTGTTGGCTGATCGTCGCATGATCTTTGTCGTCGGATGATCACCACCGTCGGCACACCTCGCAGAATCGTCGTCGTCATGGCCGCATCATCACGTGCTGCATTTCATCATCACGATCATCATCATCACCATCGCAGCAGCAGCAACATCAACCTCGCCGCACACCCCCTCTCCACGTTCAGCCCTCCTCCTCCTCCTCGTCGCCAGCGGGGGGCCATGTCCCCAACCACTCAAGCCCTTTCGCCTCGTCGGGGCCTGACAAGCTGGCGTCACGTCCGAACTTCACGCCGCAAGAAGCCCACTCTGGGATGAAGTTAGGGGAGTGCCCAAAGGTCACCCACGCCTTCCCCAGTTGTTTCGTCACGGAGTTGGCTGCGGACATGATGTGCCGTAGATGATCGAACGCGTGGTGCATGGTCGCGACGACCAGGGGCTTGGCGAGGACGTTGGCAAAGTAAAAGGCTTCGTAGTGCGATCGCAGACCGTCTCCCAACATCCTCATTACCCACATGCATGCTGCCAACAGCACCTTGAAGCTCTCGGCCACACGACACAAACGTTCGTGTCTGATGCATCCAACATCGATGTTTTATCCCGTTTCGACCGCCGTGCTGAGTGCCACGACCAGTCGCATGAGAGTCGCCTCCTGGTAGGCCGCCATGTCGTCGCTCACCGGCCTGTCTTCAATGCGCACCCCTGCATACCACAGCAACAGGTCCATCCCCAGGTATAGTGTGTACGCGCAAACGACGGGGCTGACGACGTTACTCCACTCCTCACCATGCCACATCGAGCGCACGATGTCGGTCGCCACAGATTCCAGTACGTACTGGAAGGTGAGAGTGTAGCCTCTTTCTCTACATCCAGATTTGAACACCCACCAATGCAAAACCTGCAACGCCACATTTTGGAGTTTCGATGCGCGGCTCAGTGCTCCCTGCAGCTGCCCTGCATCCGTGAGCCTGATCTGCGTGACGTTGGATCTGGGATATGGCAATGCTTCTCGGGACGTTCGAGAGAGGAAGGCCGCTTGCGATGGCGATGAGGTGCTCACATGTCTCGTTGATGATGTTGTAGAGCCTGCGCCCCTCCCCTGACGTCCAGAAAGATTTGTCGTCAACCCACAGTCTCGCCCGGTCCGCTAGATCTTTCTCCACTCCGCCCTTTCGCACCCTGTTGACGAGAGGTTTGTCATCCTCGCCCACCTTTCTTTTCTCCGCATGTGCAACCTCCAATGCGCGGGCCACGTCCTTCCCCCCTGCGCCCTTCCCCCGGCGTCCTCTGCAGTGTCCCGGCCACAGCTTCCACGTCCGCCCTTGTGTGTCGGGCTTGCGGCGCTCCCACCACCCCGCCAGCCGCGGCCGCAACTGCAGATCCGGCATTGTTGCCTGTGCGTTGTTGACGCGGCGTCGTTGGCAATGAGACTGGCTGCCTGGGCGTTGTTCCCCCGGTTGCCACCACTGCGTGATTCATTGCCTGCGTTGTTGCGCCACGTTCGATCGACGCACCGCCTTGGCTCTCCTCCTCCCGCGCGTCTTCGTTGATTTCGACGTTGATGATCTGCTTGTCGCGTGTTCTTGCCTGCGCCGCTGATCCCTCAACGCGTGCACGAATGTTGGACGACACGGGCGACAGCGGAACGTCAGGAGCGGCGGTCGTGAAGACGTCATTGTTGTCGCTCCCGCTTGGTCTTCCCCACCTGTCCCCGTCCTTTTGGGCACTGCTGAATGACGCGGCGTCTTGACGGCCCCTTTTCGCCCTCGTCACTTGCCGCCCTCCTCTATCGGCTCCCCCTGCGTCGTCACCAACAACAACACGCTTCTTGCCACGCCCACGAGCACCATTTCCGCCCCTTGGAGACATGGCTGTGCTTCACGGCGCTGTACTGCGTCCCACCGCCCCCTACCGTGTGCCGCCCACGCAAAGTCGATGCAGACAGAATCGCCAACAGACGGGTCGACGTTATGGTGCTCGCACAATCGCCATTGACAACGAGCCGCCTGAGGGCGAGGCGACGACGAACCACAGTGGAGAAGAACGAGTAGGAGAACCACATTCCTGACGAATGTCCCACTTCGTGCAATGTACAAGGCGGGTGGCCGTGACGGAGGTCGACGATGGACGTGGATGTTGGAGGGCGAGCGGTCGACGGCGGATCGTGGAGGGCGGCAGAGCAGGCAATGTCGCGGCAAAGGACTGCTGGGAGCGCAGGATCCGCTACGGCAAGGAGACTCACGGCGCAAGAGAAACGAAGGCGGGGCGGACAAAGGCGCATCCAGGCGTGGCAGGGCTTATCGACGATGAAGGACGCGGAGGCGGAGTGGTCTGCCCAGTTGTGGATCGTTATTTATT